ACCCACTGTGCCTCCCTTATTTAGGCCATTCTTCCAAAATTTGACATCAAAATTCTTTAATTTGATTTTTCGAAAATACCTGGCTATGTCCAAAATTCAGTAACACGGCCATAGGTCCGAACTCTTTTAGGCTTTTCTTAGTATCACTGAGATCTACTTCCGATGTTAATACAGAGTCGTAACTCATGAGACAGTTGGGGTGGTTTTCGCGTTAGTAGTTTAGTAATAGAAGAGCATTCCGATAAATCAATATGTTTCCTGTTCGAGATCTTTTAGAACCGTGAGGTTCTAGTTCATGATTTCTAACGAAAAGGGACCATTGTCGGCATCCATCACGGCACTATGTTTTTATTTGTATAAACTGCTAGAGTTGGTCACGTGAAATGAACTTTGAAGTGTATTTTTGAAAATGATGAATTTCGGCAACTTCGAAAGTTCGCTCCGTATCCCTTTCCTATTACGAACTCTCGCCACGCATATTTTCAAGCAGGATACACATATACTTAGTACTCAGTACTACCATATACTTAGTACTAGTTACTCATATTAACGATAAAAAAATTAGAAATGGTAAATCTTTCTTTTTCGAGAAAACTTCGATCTAACAGATTTTGGAAAAATATTTAAAAGATTCCTCAGCTTATTTTCATCTAAAAACCAATATCCGATTTGGAATTAGCGTGGAAAACTACACCGAAATACATATTTCATAAACGTTTACCGAAGTAAACAACTTCATCAAAAAATTTTCATTCGATCTACGTAATTTTTTCCGATAACTCAGTTTTGTACACTAAAAACCGCATTTTCTCTATTAGCCATATTTTTACAAGCTTTTGAAGTATATCTAGGTAATTAGGAATATTTCACGCTAAAGTTTCAAATTTTGGAAGAATGGCCTAAATAAGGGAGGCACAGTGGGTATATAGGCGGAAGTTTGGCTCAATTCGTAAGTGCGCATTTTTGAGATTTGAATACCGTCATATATATTTGGCTAATGACCGATTTAATGATGAAAAGATATTTTTCCTCGTTCAGAAAATTGATAAAGAAAATTAACGTACTAATTAGCGCTTTTTTGACAATGTCGATTGCGTATTTCGAACAAAGTAATCGAAACACTCCGTTTTGATATTTTCTGGAGCAGAAAAATGCCAGCTGTTTGATTCTGAAAAAAGTTTTGCTTTATCTTAAAAGGTATAGATAAAAAACCTGTAGTTTTTCCCAGAAAATCCCTTTTCCTCGTTACGTTACCGGTGTAATCGACTTCCTAAATTTTCCTAAACTCTGATAGTGTTCAAATGTACACCAAACGTTCATCTCGGTGTCTTGTATCTGTAGCACATGCGGTTTTTTGACTAAACGGAGATATAGATTTTCCCAAAATCCCCGGTTTTTAAGGTAAAGTTGAGTTTTCTTATATCAAAAACAATTTTGTTAAGACAAATTATACATATTTGGATTCAGCGTGAAAAACTACATCGAGTGATGTATCACTTATTAGTTTTACAAATAAAAAATTGTTTGACAAGTGCCCTCCTTAGAGATTTTTCATTGGAAAAGAATTTTTTTTCGAATTTGATTTTTCTTACTTCTATTAAAATTCGACACGTCATAAGACAATATTATACGAAAATAATCATTTTTTAATCCATAACACCACGTTTATGATTAGGAAGGGAAATTAGTATAGTTTTTAGAAAACAGATTCTTGCTCAGAACTTGATACTCTTCTTTTTAAGATGAGTCACAAAATTTGCAGAAAAACAAACTGTGGTGCTCATCGAAGTTCCACGGAATTACCCTACAGAATTATTATCGGCCAAAACAACTTTTAAGTTTTCATAATATTCTTAATTTGATGTTAAAAAAACTCTGATTATTAGAAAAAAACAATTCTTTTTTTCTGTTTCAAGGTGAAGCAACTATAACAGCAACAACTATTTGTTATGATCGTAACTGGAACAGAATAGGTGTAACAATTGCCGGTTCAGCAATTGGTAATTATGGTTCATCATTAAAATATTTATTCTATCCTATTGATATTGCTCTTGATAATTTCTCTAATATCTATATAAGTGATAGTGGCAATAATCGAATTGTTAAATGGTCACAAAATTCTCTCGAAGGGCAATTAATTATTGGTAATATTAATGGAGCAGCAGGTAATTTACCAAATCAATTAAATTATCCAACTGGAATTTATTTAGATAAAATAAATCAAAATTTGTATGTAGTTGATTCAGGTAATTATCGTATACAAAAATTTTCATTAAATACAACAGAAATACCACCATTCAATGGTATAACCATTCTTGATCAAAATTCTGTATTTAATGCAATTAATAGCAGTGGTAGCAGTTTTTCTACTGTTTATTATGATAATATGAATAATAATTTATATGTAACAGATACAGGTAATGGTCAAATATTATTATTTAAAAATGATAGTACAATTCGAGTTGTTGCTGGCGGTAAGGAAGGAAATACAAAATTATATTATCCATTCGGATTTTATGTTGATCGAAATTTAACAATTTATATTGCCGATCGGGGTAATGATCGTATAGTTAAATGGTTAAAGAATGCCAACGAAGGTATAGTGATTGCCGGTGACAATGGAAAAGGTTCAAATCCTGATCAATTGTTTGCTCCAACCGATGTTTATGTTGATGAAACAGACGATGATACAATTTATATTGCTGATTCGAATAATAATCGTATACAGCAATGGTTATCAAATGCTACTGATGGACGAACAATAGCTGGAAATGAACATGGTACTGCGGTTTGGTATTCAACCGGATTTCGTTGGCCATATAAAATTAAATTTGATCAACAATATAGTTTATATGTTACTGATTATCAGAATCATCGTATACAAAAATTTAATTTAATTCAAAATGGGTATGGATGCCATTAAAATTGAAACAATCTCACAATAGATATTTTATATGTTGTATTCTTTATCTGCATACATAACGTCCATCAACATTAATAAGCTAAAAAGAGACAATTATTTTTGTTTCGATAGTCAAATAAAGATGAAAAATTTGATGTAGTAAATGGAAAATCTGTTGACTTAAGGCATGCACCAATACAATATATTGGGTCCCAATAATACTGATCACCCAATATATTGGGGTTGTCACAATATTATTGGGTATTGGATCGCTTGAGTTCAGCCTACTATTACAGTATAGATGCATGCCCTATATCCCGTTTTGAAGCAAAATATAACCCAATCAGGCATTCACCGATTAATAATCGATGTTAGGGCATTCAGCAAAGTCGTTTCGCATCAGTTATAAAAAAGCGCCTAGAGCCGAAGGTTTCATTTTGTAGAAAAATGTTTGTTCTGCCTAACGAAGTGCTACGAAAAATTTTAAGATTATATATAGAGAGAGAAAATACGATAAATCGAAAATGCACTAAAATCACAGAAAAATAATCGATAGTCGATTAGTTTTTCGCAATTTTGCTCAGTTTTGGATGCTTATATTTCTGTCACAGATAACACTAAAATTTCCTCCTGCACTTTAGTTTGGTAGAGCAAACATTTTTCTACAAAATGATATCTTCGGCTCTAGACGCTTTTTTTATAACTGATGCGAAAAGACTTTGCTGAATGCTCTAACATCGATTATTAATCGGTGCATGCCTAATCTCGATCTCGATATATTTTTATATCCCAGTTGGGATATATAGCTCGATGGGGATATATATCTCGATTGGGATGTACTTTCTCACGTTTTTATGAATATAAATGATATTAAGGTTAAAAGTAGGAATTTAGTGTATTGTGGAATCCAATATTACCTAATATTATTGTATAATATTGTGAGTAACCAATATTATTGGTTCCAAAATATTGGGTATACAATAATATGGCGATCCAATATAATTGGATACTCAATAATATTGTACAATATTTTCAATAATGATTGATATTGATGTATGCCTAGATTTAACCGGTTTATCTTTTCTGTATGAAAGTTTTTTAACCAAAAGTAAAGTACTCAAGGTGTTAGCATGTTTGCTAGACAAAATGGCATTCTCTTCATTTCATTTTTATCACCCACAGATGCAATTCAAAAGTTATCATCTCAGGTAGAGTCCCATCACGCCTGTGAAGGAGCTATATGTAAACAGACAAAAAATAAACATTATTCTATTGACTGTATGTCTATAGTCATACGAAATAAAGTGTTTGTGTGTGTGTGTTTGTCCGTACAGGGGTGTGACGGACGTAAGCACATACGGTGACGGACGTACATACATATAATCATGTGGTAATGTGACGGACGTACATGCACAGAATCACTAATCAGTGTCACGGACATGAGCCCACATAGGTTGATGCGTTAGAGTTTTGTGTGGAATCAGAGAAGTGGAACACTTATCCTGACTGCAAGCGCAGACCGAAGGGACGCGTGAGCATTGTCTGGAGTTTAGAAATATTTTTACACCTCTGGGGTTCTTTGGGGGCTCTCGAGAAAACTTGTATAGATTGAAGCTACTTCACGAAGCTGACACTTCATACCAGAAAAATATTCCTAACGCATGGTAGATAGTCCGTAGCGAACACCGACCGAAAGGAGGTGTAAGCGTTGTTTCGACGAACTATGCCAGACGTCGCCCCCACTTAGGTTTCGTTATCAAGGGTAAGAAGACTGATACATGTGGTAATATTACGTCCATTTCGAACGTCTGTACAACAGATAAAACTAAATCCAATTACAGAGTCTCGATGAACTACAGAAATTCTGATAGACTTGTCTGACCCGTGAAAACCTATAGCAACTGCTTCTGTAAACTAAGATGGAAAATATGGACGTTCTCATCGAGAAAATATGCATCAATTCTGTAGTAACAAGATCGAATTACAATAGAATGAATAATAATTCCAACAGTACATTCATTCGACTTACAGGCAATGGACTTAGTGAATCGATGCGATTCACGTTATTTATTGTACTAAAAAACGCAAGGAACATTTTTACTGCGATCAGATCGTTTATATCTTACAGAATATTGATGTCTAGATTTACTAACTATATGCGATCGATAGATCAGATGTTCGTCTAACTTATGATGACAATCTTGCATCATAAATAATAAATCGTTGAGAGGTACAATCATTTCTACACGTATTCTGAAAAAGTAATTCTGGAATTGGTACATATTTTACTACAAAACAGATACGTATGGACAAAAAAATAAACGAAAGTATACAATTCTTAAAAAAGTCGACATCATCCCTGTGTTTTAAATTAATTTGACGAATTCGGCATAATCAATAAGACTATAATTCATAAGCAGAAAAGAGATGGATGGGTAAACAATTATATTCTACATATTGTCTATGTTGAAACTTTTCAAACATTTTTTCATTTTTAGGAAAATTTCTTTGTAGATTTTCTCTCAGTTTTCCGTTTTCCTAGGTTGTAGAAGATTGCAAAGTTTCTTGTGCTGGAAAACCAATTGAAAAATCGTATAAAAGCTTTTACTACCATATTTGAATTTTTTGCTCAAGCATCTGAGTGCGGCAGCTCTGTAACTTCAAGGAAATCCGGTAATACTCTCGAACCACACAAAATTAAGGTCTCGCTTGATTTTTGTTTTAAAGAGGATACTAGCGGTTATCAATTCATAAAAAGGATCAGTATAATCTTATTAGAAGTTTTTGAAACACAAGTGAAATTTTCAAAGATCCCCTAGAAAACCAGATCTGCATGTTTCACTGGTTTCTGCCAAAAGTTATTCAAAAATGGTCTTAATTTGAGAAGGATAATAGGTAATAAAACATTTTGAAAAAATGCCTATGCAAAAATCATCTATGGGAAAACATTTCGCATACAAAAGTTCCTTTTCAACTAGTAATCTAGATGGCAACTAGTCGTGCAACTAGCAATAGTTTAGGCGGTCGAGTTTCGGCGATAAATCGATACTTGCAATCGAGTAGATAAATCGAGCGATACTTGACTTTTTTTTCCGGTCTCATCCCTAACACTGTGCCGATACTTTAAGATTTGTAAATGAGATTTTCGTGATGAGAAGTTCATGGGATTTTGTTTTGGAGCAGGTCGTCATTGTTAAGGCACTGAAGACTACACACTAATGTAGCTCTTTGTTTGGGAAACACATAGCGCCTGTAAGCATTTATATGTTTGGCAGATTAGGTTGACGAAACTTGCAGGACAGACACTGACGTTCTTTTTCCAATTAACAATCTATAGGGTAGCTCGATAGTCATTTTTACTGCTAAAATTTCTGAGTAGATTATAGAATTCTATTCGATTAAATTATGACATGTCAATTTTGTTTTAACATGCAGACTTTAAGTTCAACTTGAAATGATAAAAGTCACACATATTTTCTACTATTGTACTCTCATAATCGAAGTTCATCGTCAGTTTATGCAGCTGGTGACTTGTTTTAGTGTACCTCTGACATTACCAGATCATTTCTGGTAAATCGCTGCTCTATTGGCTGCTTGCTCATATGCCTTATAATTATATAAAAACCTTGGCAGGGTGCACCTATCGGTGCTAAAATGTGAAACTCATAATTATACCGTTATAGAATAAATCAACTTACTTTTGTACGATCAAGTAAAGCATCTTTTTAGTTCGTGTAAAGGTATTTTTACGGAACAACCACAACTCGGTAAATTTTATATTTTTCTCTAGTCAGCTACCGTCAACACAAATGTCAGATGAACCGGTGTCTGCAACAATGACTAATTCGGATGATAAGAGTGACAAAAATAAACCACTATTATAATAGTTTGACAAAAGTCAAAATCCAATGCTCATTATAACAAAATGATTTTGTCAACGAAATATAAATGGAGGAGAAACATTGACCTACCGCAACTGGTGCATTAAACCAGAAAAATCGCATTTTTATCTTGATTTTTTTGTGATTTTGGTTG